TGGTTAAAGTCCTCGATGGCAAGAAGGTGCTGGTCTTTGAAGAGATGCTCGCTGCAAGTGGCTACGTAGACACTTCAATTGCATCTGAGATCGGGCGGGGGTTTGACCTCACCGGTCCCATCCCCTCGTCGGGGGGCCTCTTCAAGCCTGTTGTTGAGCCTGCGACCATGTCCAAGGAGTGTCTGCGTGCTGCTGCCCCGGCGGTTCGTGCGGGCATCTTGCAGGCAACAGCTCGCGCGTGCACAAGCGAACTTGCTCAGGAGGTCCATGATCTTACGCAAGACGAGGTGAAAAGGGGGTGGCTCGCTGGCCCCATTCCCTTGGAACGCTTGAGTCAGACAACGTCTGTGAGCAGACGGTTTGGTGTTGTGCAAAGTTCTGGGGGCAGGCGCAAGGTTAGGCCGATCGACAATTTGAGCGAGTCGTTCATCAACAGCACGGTGTCCCGTGTCGAGTCCATCCAACCTCATGGCCTCGATGTTGTCTGTGCCGCCATCGCACACAGGCTCCGTGTGCGTGAGCGTGCTGGAAAAGCCACCGTGCCGATGCTTAAGATTATTGACTTGCTCAAAGCCTACAAACAATTGGGAATCTCATCGGATGCCTTGCAAGATGCCTTCCTCAGTGTGCCCAATCCTGAGACAGGCGCGCCGAATGTTTACGAGTGCCTCGTCTTGCCATTCGGCGCGGCCGCGTCGGTGGCAGCGTTCTGCAGAACGACGATGAGCCTATGGCACTTGGGGTGCGCTCTCCTTCTGCTTCATTGGACTGTGTTTTATGACGATTTCATTGTGGTCAATGAGAAGTCGTCTGCTAAGCATTGTGAACTTGTCTTGAGCAGCTTCTGGAGCTTGCTTGGTTGGTCGGTTTCCCGTGACAAAGAGACCGAGTTCGCTTACTTTGCAAGGGCTCTGGGTGTCAAAATCTGCTTCCAATCTGAGCGCATGTTTGTAGTAGAAAACACTCAGGAACGCAAGGATGAGCTCAACGAGACAATCACTGACTTGCTCTCCGCCCAGTGGGTCGATCAGCATGCGCTTGCTTCCTTGCGCGGCCGACTACAGTTTGTGGAAGGACAGATCCACGGCCGTCGGTGTCATAGGCACATGCGGGTGCTGTCGCTACGAGCCGAGTTCATTGGAGGCTCCGCAGTCGACGACGACCTTTGTGAAGCGCTTCGGTTCCTTAGGGATAGGGTTGTAGGGGCGCCACCACGTGTCATCTCTGCACGGAGAGAGAACACGTGGTTTCTCTTCACAGACGCTTCCTACGAGGTTGAGGCGGA